ATTTTAACCAGACACGAGCAAAATTTCACATAATTCACAAACGATCATGGGAGAATACATGCCGAAGAGCAGCAGTTGAAACTGAAAACTGCTATTTCGACGTCGAAACCGTCGTGTTTAGTCTGGAGGGCTGCACTGCATAGAACATCAAGAAGAAGCTTGAAAGACAGTTGTAAATTCCGACATCCGTTCGAGTTTGACGACAGAAGACTTTCGCGACAGAAACAAGTAGAAGCGAACAGGGTCGTCGAGTAGGTCTTCGAGCCTTGGGGATCTTAATCCTTGCTGAACCGTACCAACTCCCATGAGATGTCTTCCAAACTAGATGTAGACCTCTTACCATAACTTCTTCGAATGCAGGAGCAGTGCCCTCAGCAGAGTCCGCTGCCGCAACTGGTCTGTGCTCGACATGGACAAGCTGATCTCGGCGGATCCTCTACTCCATTCCTGTCAGAATTTCGCTCTTGGGCTACTTCAGACGGCAAAGGCGACTAAATGCTACCAGAACAACGGAGTTGATCTTCGGTCGATTCTCCATATTCGTGGACGTCATTTCCGATGGACTGCTCCGGATGGTTCAAATTCAAGGTGGACCTCCCAGCTTCTCTGAATGGGGATTCACTACCCGCAATAGACTCCATTGAAACCCACTCATTCCTGATATCAGAGTTGGGAGTGTCGAAGTATTTTCTCGCTGACTAATGACCCTCACTCCCGCCAGGTCTACACAGCTTCGAGTTTTCTCGTAACATGTTGCGCAGTGTGTGCATCACCCACCTCGTGGCCTTCTCGATGATTAAAGGACCACTCCAGCTCTCGCAGTCCTTGGCAGATTTGGAGGAGATCAGTTCGAATCCATGACGACTAGAAATTTAATGCCCCCAAGAAAAGGGACCTCTCATCCAGAATGTAACTGAGCCAGTCTAGGAAACAGCTGTCTTTTCCTCTCGACACAGACGTCATCATCATCATCACGACTCCTCGAGTGCTGCCGCCTCGCTACACACCATAGACAGTTCACTGGGTCATATCTCACTACAACGCAAGCCTCATCTCATTCCGAGCTCCATCGCATACATGAGTTACTTGAGCTACCAAACCGATTCACAAGCACTTTTGGTGAGGATCTCCACAACATCGCCAATTCTCACGCTTCTCGGCCCACCCAGGGCCGAATGTGCTCATGCCCATCATCAGAGAGACCACGTCCTGCCCTAGTTCCGTATCTTCCCACTTCATATGATTCACATATTTAATACTATCATGCCATCCATATCGTCTCGGTCATTGTCAAACTCCTCGACACGATATTTCAACATCCTAGGGATAATCCCACTCATCACATACCATCTCTCTGAGAAGATGCCAAACTCCACGAGTTCTCTTAAATTCCAACCAGTAGCCGATTCCTCCAGACGCTTCATCAATGCTACTCTCTAGATACTCCTGCTTCACGTCATACAACAGCAGAACCACACTCACCGATTTTTAACCCGTCCTAGCCCAAAGACAGCAAGTTCCCACAAGTACCCGGGGATAATCTCATCCAAGAGTAATTCACCTCTGGACGAGGCCCCATCCTTCCCTCCCTACTTCGACGTCAGCTCTCGCGCAAGTCGTCTCTGACATTCGAGAATCTGCCAAGCCTCTCACACTCGATTTCTCTCCCATCATCGTACTACTACCCCGCCTTTATTAACAGCAACTGCGTCTTCCTCTTCCTCGACAAGCTCTCTTCCTCTGACCTCAGCCTCCGTGTATCATACCCATTGTATTTCCCATACTTATACCCAGTCAGCTGCGGGCACAACTCCTTCTTCAATCGACGCCACTTGCCACGCTCAAGCCCAGCATTATTGCAGTTTGTCCCAGGACTATCCCTAGGGCTGGAGACTATACTAGAAGATTCCTACACACACTCCAATGACAGCTGTCAAACGACTGCGTCAACTCCTTACTCCTGACGTCAGCTCCCACTGCGAATCCACAGCCTCATCGAGCTCAGTCTTATCGAGCTCAACAGCTTCCGTGTGAGGAGGCGGATTGAGGAATGCCTCTAAAGAACCCAGTTCCGGCTCACTAGCATCCTCACGCTGCCTGAAAACAAATCCAAGGACACCTTCGAGGTTACGAACCTCCCAAATCGGAGAGAAGCCAATCCCTCGATACGATAGGAACAGTTTCCGACGTTAACCCAATATTACAAATATGACTATTAATAGGAAAAAGTTAGTAACCATAATACGCTTTATAATATTGGAGCTTAATCCGTTTTACGCGAAGTGGCGTAATACTCTTTGAAACGCCGATGCAGTAGTCGTAAAATATGTTTTTCACTACTGTTTTTCATATCACAACTCCTGACATGGTTTATTATTAATACTTTATCTTATACTCCCTAGCCTTATACAATGCCATTTCCTTTCTACACGGCGAACCCTACTTAGGATCTTTCACAGCGTCTTGTGCCCCAGCCGTCGACCTTTGCAGTAGTTGCCCAACTTCCTCCAGTCGTCTCTGCCAGTCACTTTCAACACTGTCTCGCTCCAGCAAACCTACCTCGCTTTCATCACACTGCCACTGCAAGCTCACAGGAGGGTCTCTGGAGGGTCTACGCCTCATTAATTCTGCATAATACGGCCAATACCATCACCAGCCCAACTCAACACGCTCAGCTGTCCGTAGAAGCAACTGCAATACTACGTAGAATCACGTCCTCAGGCATGCACAAGATACATAGAATGGGCTCATAGCAGCACGATAGCCAACGACATACTGCCCAATGATGATAATAGTTATGATCACCCAAAACCAGCTGCTTCGCTCCGCTAAGCAATGCTAATTTCTCAGACCATCCGCCCGTGTGATGGGTCGCCACCACTTTGATATCAACGCCACTTTGAGGCTGCCTCAGGACCCTCTTAGAATAAAGCTTCCTTTAGGGTTTACAGTTTTATAATGAAGTATAGATGGGCAGAATTACGTTACGGGCCGTTACGGCTCACTTTTACGGTTACGCTTCAAGCCCCGTACCGTGAAATTACGGCGCCGTAACGGGGCTTACGGAGATGCAGAGGACAAAACGAGAATTGATGATTCAAGTCGCCTAAATCTATTTCATGTGAATGCGAATCCGTGGATGAGGCCGGCTTGGCAGTTCCGGGCCAACCTCGGAGTAAGACGGACGCAATTTGCAAATGAGACGAGTGGTAAATGCGAAACCAAATGTTACTCTCTCATCGGTTCGGTTGGATCCGATCCCCAAAAAATGAGTTCAATAACTATTTGAGCTATCGTGGAGTGCATTACAGCGAATGTTTCCGCCACATTTCCCGAAAAGCAATTCAGCACCAACCGTAAAGTCGTAAGGCCTTTTCGTAACCGTGAACAGCTTACCGTAAAAACCGTAAAAAACGTTACGCTGCCCATCTATATAATGAAGTTCCTATATGACGAAAAGGCCTATAATGAAATGATGAAATGATAATGAATGATAATGAATGATGAACGATGAATGATGAATGATGATGATGATAATGAAATGATATTTTCCTATAATGAAAATTCATTAGCCAATTTCCTGATGTCGGGCGTCGTCAAGCAAAGTCGCACGAACCTAAACCGTATTCCACCACGAGCAACCTAAGATACGACAAGATACTCCCCAGAGTAGCAATCCTATCTCTACTTCTTTCCCAAATCCACTCCGCGCTAAGCCCCGCCTTAGATCGAGATTCTCGACACGACTGAATCCACTACACCGTCTAAGCTGCCATCTCCCCCATATCCACATTCCTTAAGCCGCTCTTGAAAGCGGTCTCGCCTCGTTCCTGATGGACCTCTAGACACAGCGACTCTACAGAACTCAATCACTCCCACCGGGCCCACGAGAAGCGACCCCACTTCCTTGGGCCGCTGATGCTGCAGTGTCTTGACCGCATGCAGATGGTTTCTCGGTCTCTTTTTTCCACTCCAAGACAGTTCTCCAAGTACGGAGGCGATGGATACCAACATCGCTGCTGGTACAGCATCAGTACCTACTCCCAGTCATACCACACCACGGCCACATCTGGAGCGGAGACATTTTCAAAGACTTGGACCATAGGCCCCGCATGGGCTCAGCACACAGCTACCAAAACAGTCCAATCCACAAAATGCCTCAGGACTTCCAAACTTTCCAGCAGCAGCTCCTCATCTGAGAAATATTCCCTCAACAAGGCGTTCAATCGCGTCATGTCGCCATCAGTGTCGTCATCAACAGTACCGATGCAACAGCTCGAACTCTGGGGGGGATGCCATGTCCCAACAACGAGTAATGAAGAGCTACCATAGTAGTATACAAAGGTTGACATAACCATAGCAGATCGACCTCAAAAAGTAGTGGACGAATGTCAGCCAAGGACTGCCTTTCGTCGCTTCCTTCCTCCTTGCCAGCTATTGGCGAGGTACTCGCTGCATAGAAGTTCAATGATTCACGCATCGGATCCTCAGCTCCGAACGGATAGTCTGGAATGGCCCTCAGCTTGTCTAATATAACGGGTATAGGTTGTTAAAGTGTTCCAGGGAGACGGAACGACGTACGAACGATTATGCTCGGGAAAAGCCTTCCAAATTTTGAGCGATTTTACACAAGTTAAAACGTCGCAGTGTTAACTGAATTCCGCGCAAGTACAAACAACACCAGAATGGCCCCACCTGGCTGGGATCAACCAGAACCTTTTCCACCCACCAACGGCACCGCTCCCCCTGGTCGTGGGTACGACGCCACCGAGCCCCCGAGCATACCAGCTGACCACAGGTCCCGAGACCACGGCAGAAGGGAGCGCAGTAGACGACGCCGGGGCGGCGCGGACACTAGCAGTAGCAGTAGGAGCCGCTCTCATGGTAGACGAGACAAGAGGCGGTCCAGGCGGGACAGGTCGAGGAGTGAACGACGAAAGTCTCGGAAGAGTGGCTGGGACGACTCCACTGAGCCTAGTGGGCAGCCTCAAAGCAACTTTAGTTCATCAGCCTTGGGAGGGGCGGGACTTGACGCTTCCACTCTGCTGATGCAACAGCAAGTACTCGCTGGTGGTGCTGGGCAAAATAAGAAGGCTAAGGAGCTGTATGTGGGCAATCTGGCCAAGGGCCAAGCTAATGTGGCCAACGTGAAGGAGTTCTTCAACACGGCATTGACAGCTCTCCCCGAGTACCAGCACAAATACGCCCACATCCTCCCAGCTGGTTGCATTCGTGAGGTCCGACTCTCCCCATGCGGCCAATACTGCTTTGTCGAGTTCGCCTCTGAGGAGATATGTCTCACTGCCTTGGAGTTTGATCGAGTCGAGTTCCTAGGCCGTCAGCTAAGGATCGCCAGACCAACCGGGTACACCCCTCTAGGGCCTCCCCCTGCCCCCATGGACGTCAGCGTCCTCCGGGTCCAGGGTTTCCTCCCACAAAAGGCCATGCCTGCCAACCCTCAGCAGGACAAACGACAGAGAGAGGCCTACGTTGGGAACCTGGCCTTGGGTGTGATCACCCCACAGGTCCTAAAGGACCTTTTTGAGCCCGCGTGCAGCGTCCTGCCTGACTACAACTCCGCCTTGGGTCCGCCAGTGCTCGCTGCTGACGTCCGTGGGGAGGGAAGGTTCGCCTTCGTCGAGTTTCAGAACGACAGGCTGTGCAGTGCAGCCATTGACATCTTCAACGGCATGGAGGTGTTGGGCCGTCGCATAGTCGTGGGCCGCCCTCAGGGTTACGTCGAGCCCCCAGAGGGCGCCGCCATCCCTTCTGGCCAGCGCTCTAACATGCTGGCTTGGGATAGCGGTCAGAGTTGGGGCATGAACCAGGGATGGGATGCTGCTCCACAGGACTATCGAGGACACCAACAACAACGACGTGGTTTCGATGATACAGGTTCCGCTGTTGCAGCAGGTGCGGAGGCCGCTCAGTCACTACTACACGGCTATACGAGATGAATGATCTTTTCTAATACAGTAGGTTAGTTATGATATTATTATTCCTTAGCGTTTGAATTGACCGCCAGAGGGCGTCGAGTTGTCCGAGGAATGGTATCGTTATGTGTACTTTAGTTTTTCATGAAGCCATGGCAGAGTTCTCTTGGCCCTCAGTACCTCCTCAATACCCTCAGCCCAACGGCCCTTCGCCCACCACTCCGACTATGGCCTGGGGTTCCTATCAGCCCGATACTGTTGCCGACGTTGGGGGCCTAGCACAGCCCTATGGGGCATCGGGAGGTTCACCTAGTTTTGATGTTAGAACTGCCCAACAACTACAACAACAACAACCAACGACGGCGCCTGTACTATCGCCGGGGCCTCATCCTTACTATACGACAGGATCATTGATAGACCCTAGCAGGACGCCACAGGTGCGGATGCGACAGACCTCTCGAGGAGGACATGCTTTTTCAATGCAGGTTTCCACTCAGCTACCGTCTACTGCAACAATGGGAATAAACCCGTTAGAAGAGCGGTGGGAGGTTGCACTGGTGGGGTCTAGTACTGTGGGAACACGATGGTCATCGTGGCGTCTCAGATGTGTATCGGGAAGTGCTTGTCGGCTCCAGAGACTGAGCTCGGCATGCCCCCAGCTGTCTATGGGCCCTGCGTTCAACCAAGCGGCTTTGTAGGTGCGGTTTGGGGAGCGCAACGTGAGGTGGGTTTTTCTTTAGTCGCCCCTCATGGGCGATTTTGTGGCGGAGCCTTCGCCCAGGAGTCGGAAGTTTAGCGCTGTCTCGGCGACCACGCAGTTGTCCCAGTCACAGCCCCAACAGGTAGGTTACCTAGGCTTGCCTTGGACTGTACTATGTTCCTTCGACAGGACCCAAAGGCGTCTCCGAAGGCATCTTCGACGGTCCCGGATGGTAGTGTTAGGCAGATGGCCCCTCAGCTAGAGCAAATGCAACAGCAGTTGGACACTATGACTCGCCACTTGCAGTCGTTGGTGCAAACCAAGGTAGGGCATGATGGGCTCCTCGTGGGAGAAGGGCGGGGCCAGGCTCAGGTGCCCCCGCCGCAGCAGTACCCGACATATGCTAGTAGCCCTCGGTACCTTCCTGCGACGTCGCAGCCTCCACAGGCCACTCCGCGTGACCATAGGTGGAGCTCGGTTGCTACTCTACCTCAGCAACAGCAGCAGCAGTCCCCTTATCCGGCGACGGATCGGCCAGCGAAAGTAGGCTCCACTGTGTGGGGGGAGTTGCTGCCTATGGTGTTGTATGCAGACCTCGTTGCTGGACATCGAGGAGAACGAGCGGAAAATGCGGGCCCTCGCGTATCAGCTGAAGAGGCTCCAGAAGGACATCCACAGCACTAGGCTGGGTTGATGATACATCTGTTACTATTTACAGCCCTACTAAGGATCGTTATACTGCTTTCTACTAAGCCTGGTGTATGTGTTCTCTCTGCCTCCCCGAAGGCTGGGTCAGAAGTATTGCTGATTTGTCCCACATGCCAGCCCAGGTCCTGTGCAACGCCGTCGATAGATCCCTCTCGTGGCTGGAGGGCCACTTGCCGGTGGAAGCTGCACGGGAGAAGTTCCCCTTGGTCAACACTGGGATAGAGTTGGCCGATACGTATGGTCGGCCCTTGGTCGTTAAGGTTGACTCGGGGCTGGATGGGGCTGTCGATAGAGGCAGCAAGCTCTTGGAGGTGAACTGGTGTCTTGTGCATGGCCAGTCCTGGGGTATATGTTCGCCTTTTTCAGCTGAGCTCAGGAGTTTCCTCTTTAATTATGCAAGTTTATATATGAATTCGGGTAGAAGTAGACGAGAATTTCCCAAAATTCCCTCAGAATTCCCGTATTGTCACCAACACATGTGATTGATCGTGAGCATATTCTCCTACACTGTGCAGGACTTGTTGCCTCAGAGTATTCGGAGCAACTCGGATGCGATAGTGGCGTTGGTCGGACGTATGAGGGATTCCTTTTCATCTAACAAACAAGTTGTGCAATCGAAGATCACAGGGCTGGCTGAGGATGGTAGGGGCCAGCTCACCCACCTGCAGGAGCTCACTGTCCAGACCGCGACGGAGACCTATAAGGTGGAAATGGTGTGGTATCATTCGGAATAATTTAGAATTTTATTCAGGTTGCCTCTGCTAGGATTCGAAGCATACCCCGCTCTCTCAACATTGACGTTCATCTCGTCTTTGATACCGACAATCGCATCATCGGCGGCATCGTTCGCGCCAAGGACAAGCTTATTACTATCACCACTCGCGGTAGGTTGTAGGAGGCTCCTGGTATGGGCACCACTTCACGTGGGCAGGCCTCGATATGACTGTTGGCGAGGACCGTCGTAGAGTGGTCTTCGAGCGCGGCACGGAAGCCTTTGATATTGTCATGGGGTATGCTAAGAAATTCGTACCGGCTGTTGGTGGAAGTCCTTCGCCCCTCGCTGAGTCGGCCTCGCTGGCTCCGACCCACTAGGTGGCCGCTACTTTTTTTTCATGAAAGCCGCTGTTCTAACTTTGAATAGATCTTTATTATGATATGTGTAATTCATAGATCTGTGGAGTATGTAGCAGATTCGACGGTGCTCAGTTTTCTATCAATGATCCCATCCATTTTGAGGAGCAGTGGGGGAGACAGTTCCAATAGGATGCGAGAACATGTGATTTTTTTGTCGAACTGGGCGGTTTCTGAGCTTGCTGGTGGGTGTATAGATAGTGAGTATTACAGTATGGTTGAGTGGATGATGTATTGTGTTGTACTACGGGTGTAAGGAGTCGTTAGTGTTGTGAGTAGGGCATGCTGACGGCAGAAGAGGCTGGTCCTGCTGGGCCGACGCTCGATGAGGGTTGTCTCTCAGAGAACGGCTTTATAGCCCATGTAGGAGTTGACCATGTGATGGTATCGGCTTACTAAGTGGGGTGGTAGGAACGTTCGTGTGAAGGGCCTCGTCAACGCTCCTCATCTGTGATCTTCAAGAGGCACCTCACAGGAGAGCTGGTAATGCAGCCTGGGCTGAGTCGACATCATTACGGTAGAGCCTCAGGCCAGACAAGAAGAGGAGAGGGCTGTGTTGCAGGAGGACCTTAATCGTCTGGCGAGGCAGTTGAATCACTCAGGACTTGTTGGGAGGATGGAGGGCCCCTCGGACGGGGTGGAGGGAGGTATCCTATGGGGGCTAGGAAGGGCTTGACGATTGCTCTCAGACTCTACCACTTCCGACCACCACGATGAGGATGGTCCGCCAGAGGGCAGTCCCATGATGCATATGTCCTACACGGAGATGGCCTGGAATGCGTTCTTCCTACCTGTGACAGCGCCATTGTGGGTGGGGCGATCGGCAGTGAGTGCGACTAAGGCTGCGGCTTCGATGACCAAGGATAAGGTGCAGGTAGTAGGTGCAGGCGGGGGGGCCTTGATGTCGTGGAGCTTGCATCTGTACCTTATCTCAGTCGACGGTGCATCGTATGGTCGGGCCGGTCCTGGCGAGAATTTCCCCTATATACCCCTTGATAACCCCTCTTCTAGCAGCTCTGAATCAGCTCACACCGCGAAGGGCTCAGCATGCTGGTAGAGTCGTGTCGACGGTGGTTGCCTATGGGTCGAAGGCAGTGACTAGTGAGGAGTATGCGAGGACACAGCAGGCGACGAGAGTGCTGCTTCGGGAAAGCGTGGGGGCGGCGAGCACACCTGAGGCACGTCAAATAGTAGTCCTACTGGGAGAGCTGTGGATGCGGATTATGGACGTTATCGCGTCACCACAGTGTAGAGCTGCGGGCCAGAGTGCGCATCGTTTGGTTGTTGGTGGGTTAGCTGCGTTGCACTCTACCAACACTGATAGATTTGTAGCAGCTGTGTCGAGGTATGTGTCCGCAGCTGTGGACTTCCTGGCAAGCGAGGACGTTGCGGCTTTCATTGGGGCTACTCTGAGAGACTTGGAAATGTGGTTAGAGAGCGAGCATGAAAACTGGCAGAAAGAAAAACGATCTCGAGCGGAGCGAAGCAGAGGTAGGGCAGATTCGGTAGAGGAGAGTGGCAGCAGTCCGGCATCTCGTGATTCGAACGCTGTGGACATGTTTGGTGATGGCGAGTTGGAGTGTGACGTAGCTGTGGCTGCGGGGGAGCTGGCTCGGCAACAGCCGGAAAATCGCGAAGTCCGCCGACGACGACAGCGCGTATTGCAGGACTCGGTGGAAAGGATGCCCCCACCTGTTGATCGAGGTGCTATGAGGCGACAGGGCAGTGCTATAGACTTGGTTGGAAAGGGACAGGCATTTCTCGAGCGTATCGAGAAGACGGTGAATATAGGGGTATTGCTCATAGGAATATGGTCTTTACTTGGCATGTACGGCCTCATCAAATTAGTAGGCCTGACTTGACACTTTCTAGTATCTGTTGCTCATGCTTGTTGGAGTTGGAAGGGGTTTATCGATTCTGTCGTAGTGCAGCGAGTGCTTTTCTTCGAGGGGGGGGGCTTCGACGCAGTTTGTTCTCCTTTACTGACTGACCCACCAATGAACCTTCCAGTACCGGTGGACAAGATGCCATAGTGCCTCAGATGGGGACGGCAATACTCCGTGTAAAGGGCATATAATGAGACAGGGTAGTAGTGAGGAGGGTGGATGCTGTCTCGGGGGAGTCCGATCAGTTTCCCCGAGTTATATAATGATCAGAAATCGACGGTCGAGTAGAATAGACTATGTAATACAGCACTTGCCAGGCACAACTGACGCTGCTGTTCGGTGCGGTAGCAACGCCTCGGAGATTGCGGGGGTCTAATAAAGTTACTGTATCGGGTCGTGGGGGGGAAGGAGGTTAGGAGACATCCTTTGCACGTTGAGTCAGCTGAAAAAGGCGGAGTTTTTTATCAGCAGATTCCACAATTTTCTGTCGGACGTTTTTTTGTAAAAATTGATCTTTTCCGAGAACATGGTAGGTTGAACGATGAGGGGAGTTTTGTTTCTTTTCCAGTGGAACGGAATTCTGGTTTATCCCTTCGCCATCCGAGGATTGGCGATATGTGGGCAGTATTATATTTTTAATGGCATCAGCCGGGTTCGCCGCGACTCATGAGCAGTACCTCGACGATATTGTGGTCAGCGGCTTCCCTGGACATTACAAGACCAAGCGGGTTCAGCTGGTAGCCGCCATAGCTGAAGTGAAAGTCAAATTCGTAGATGCACGGCGGAGCAAGTTCCCCCAGGTTGCAGTGCAGAAGTGAGTGATGCGTCCGTTAGAGAGGCAGGATCCTTTTTGCAGTTATCCGATGGCGCGGGTGGTGGAGCATAGGAGCTCAGCTCAGAAGAAGTGGTTTGTCTTCTCGACGCCGGCGATCTGTCGGTACATTGCGAGGCTCCGTAGAGACTGCGATTTACTGGGAGGGAATTTTGCGATGGAGGTAAGTAAAGGGAGGTGGCGATTATGGTGACATCTGCGTCAGGCCGCGGTGGACTCAGCCGTGGACTTCATAGCTAGAGAGTTGGAGGTGCCGATAGCACTACTTATTTATCAGGCTATGGGTGGGGCCTGTGAACATGCTGATCCATCCTGTTACGGTCTGGCCAGGTGCTGTCTCTCCCAGTACGAGGATCACCAACAGAGCTGGGCAGGACATCGAGACGGCACTGAGGGAAATGGAGCGTTTACTTGGGCATGAGCACAGTCACGGTTTCCTGGTGCCGGCCACGACGTCCATTTCACTGGCTGATATCTTCGCAATTACTGTGAGTTCTCGCAGTATTAGGAGTGGCGAAGTTGTCGGCTGCTCAGATTATGTCGGAAGGAGCTGCGCAGGGGCTGGTCAGTCTAGGTAGCAATGAGGGGCGTTTACGGTAGAGCACAATTTTTTAGGGTTGGCTGATTTCCCTCGCGTTCGCGCTTGGTGGGAGAGGATGACCGACTTATCGATAATCCGAAAATTTGTTTCGAACAAGTCTGATGGTCTGTGGGCAGCAGCGGGAAGTGATAACAGGAAGGAATCTGCTCTCGAGGTTGCGGCTAAATTCGAGGCTGGGCGGACCTCTGGTACACCCCGAGTGGAACCGCGGGCCAGTAGAGGGTCTGGGAACAATGATGGCAGACAGAATAGCGCTGGTGGAGGGAAGCATCTTGCATCTAAAATCCACAGCGAGGGAAAAGGATCGAGTGAGGGGAGCCCTAAGGGGAGAGGGAGCTCGGCTGCTGGCTCTGTGAGAGGTACTGCTACCCCATCTCCTGTGAAACGTGGCTGTTCTAGTACGAAGAAAGAGCTTAAAGTGAAGCCAAGTGGGATGGCGACTTCCCCGCGTTGCTCGACATCTGTCAAGAGGCTCTCACCAGCTTCCTCTGTGAAGTACTGGCCCTCACCTAGATCCACCAGGGCATCGGTGTTGCGAGAGTCTAGGGCTGCTGCATTACGGCAGGGCACGTCGGGCACTCCCGAGAAGGGTAGGGCCGACGCTCGGTCGCACGAGGGCAGCTCATCTAAGCCGAAGTCAGCAGTGTTGGCGACTGGTGCCAGAAAGTCACCTCGACAGCCTCTGATCGGTGGCAAGGGTGCGGGGAGGAAGTCGCCTGGTGTCGTACATGGCGGGGGGCTAGGCGTGAGGGGGAAGGTGACCAAGAGCGCCTGTGGCCGTCTTGAAGGCAGTAGGGGTACTTTGGGAGGGCCGGCTTCGGTAGATGCTGCCTTTCTCTCTCTGCCAGTCGGGGATGTTGAGCAGATGACGAGTGGACCCATGGATGGGCAGGTGATCAAGGAAGAGGAGCTTGATCATTCCAGCGTGGCCGAGCAGCAGTCGATTCAGCTGGTGGCTGAGGGTCAGCACTTTGGACGAAATAGTGACAGGAGGCGGCTGCTACCAGAGGCGGGGGGTCGATTCGGGGCTCTCTCTTTGAACGTTGGAGGGGGCAGTCCTCCCATCACGAAAGAAGCAACACGGTCGGCTCCGGCAGCCTTCGCTCGACCAGCTTCTCCATTACCGATGGAGCAGGACGGTGTTGGAGGTGCCACGCTAATTCGCCATGCAGCTGATGTTGATTCCAGCAGGGGGAGTGCTATTGCTACTGCAGCTTTGCATGGACCTCAGTCGCCCCTAGGGTCTGTAAGCCTTCGAGAGGAGTACCCTGCAGAGAGGAGATCGTCTTCTCTGTTGATGGGGAATCCTTTAGCGTCGGGCACATCGTCTCCGTTATTCCCATTGCCGATGACTTGGGGGGCTCTCGGTCAAAAGCCGGGCCAAGGCTTGGATGATGCGATTCCAAAAAGCCTCGTGGCCGTATCGAGCCAGAGTATGTTCCCGGTCTCCCCCACGATTCAGCGGAGGCCGAGCGTTCCCTCTAGTGGGGCTTACAAGCATGTGCTGAGCTCAACGGTGATGGGGCTCCCACCTGCCATGGAGATGCAGGCACCACTTGACGTGTCTGGGCAGCCAGGTGGGTGGAGAGCTTGTTGCGATGTCTATCTTAGTTGTTCTATCAGGGGACCGTGGGCGAGGTAATCATCATCATCATCATTATGTTGCGCATCATCATCACAAGCGGCCGCCTGGCCATACTGAGCACCACGCGGCTCGTCATCACGGAGGGCAGCACCACGGCCACCATGCATCGTAGCAGACAGTTCGTGATGATGGTTGGACACGCGGTCAAGTCCACATACTGCCACTGGGACCTTGGGGCGAATGTGGCACTCAATGTAGCACTACATGAATTTGATGTTATTAGTATCATTACTGTTGAGCTTTCACGGGGTGGGGGACGGCGTTCCGACTCAGTTCATACAGTGCCTCCACTTTGTATGGATGCTCAGCATGCCGGCCGATGGGGTCGCTATCAATTGATAGCCCATCTGGACGAGCGGGAGGATAAACGACCTCAACAGCAACAGCACGACACAGTCCAGAGGACGGGCGCCACGTCGCAATCCCCAACTGTGCCGACTGCCATGGAATTGCTTATTTTTGTCCCGTGAGTGGCGAGGAGCGTCTTATCGGAGACGTTTATGTTTGTTGTGTAGGGAGGCGAAGGTTTACATGTTGAAGTGTTCGGATGAATCTGATGACGCCTTGGAGTGGCGACAGCTAGAGGCGGGCGGAGGTTTCACGATCGCGCGCGCCATTGGTGCCTCGACTAAGCAGCCTCTGTTCGCTGCGATCCTCGGGGTGGACACCTCATCCTTCCTCTGGAGTGTTGAGATTGACACGCAAGTCTCCCCGGAGAGCCATGGTCAGACATTCCACTTCAGGTGAACGCTGCTCTCGTCGGAGCGTCATGCCCTATTGGTCTTGTGTGTAGGTCAGTCGATGGTTTAGTGCTGGCAGTGTGGTGCCCGAATTCTGCAAGCACTGATCGTGTAGGTTCATCTCAACCGGTGATGTCTTCTCATCGAGCGCCGGTTCTGTTGCAGATAAAATTCTGTGTCATGAGCGCCTTCCTCGACGGCTCTTCACGGTGTACCCAAGCTGGTGACGACTTGGGCATGGGGCAATTGCTCGAGGCCCTAAGGAGGACCAAGTCCACCGCTGCCGCCGCCAGCCACCCCTCGTTCACGTTAGGTCGAGGACTCGGAAGGCTGAGGCTGCCAGCACAAGGGGCTCCCATAGACGGTGACACGCAGAGTCGACAAGAGGTAACGACGGAGAGCACGTTGTTTGAATTGCCCCCTCCCCCCCTGAAGTGAGATATTCTTCATGCTCTCGTTGATGTCAGGAGTCGCCGCCACTGTCTTTTGAGAAGTCGAACTCGAGCTGCTCTCCGACTTCAGGAGGAAGGTCGACTGATCATCGCGTTGACGAAATTTCAAACAATATTCAAAGCACGCATCGAACTGACGAAGAAATTGAGTCCCATGGTACTTCATCGTTCGAGACGGGAGACGATTACACCACTGAGACACTTCGTTCGGCCCTCCAGGCTGCCCTCAACTCCGACGAATTCGTCGAGGGGATTATAGATCAGCTCAGGCTGGCAATTCAGAGTACCGACAGCAGCTCATCTTCCGGATAGCTGCTGCAGCGTTCTACCATCACTGTTAATGTCATTGTGTTCATCATTGACGGTGTATGTGCTGGCGATGATAACATTAATCTTTTGTGAACGCGTATTCTCTGAAAAGATCTCGACGAGTGGTTTCATTCTTCGATTGTTTTTTTGTCAACGAATGTATTCCCTGTCTCCTCCTGTTATTGTTTACTTTGTGCGTCATGTGTACGATTGCGTCATGGTTGGTATAGAAAAGGACGCCGGTAGCCCCTGTTGAGTGTAACCCAGCTTTGTTGTGGAGATGCTTTCCTGTTTTCGGCTGTACTCGTGGCTCCACTCGGAGGTGTTGATTCGCATCACTGAATGAGTCACTCGAAAGCTTTTACATCATCATCATCATCATCATCATCATCATCATCAGCTCGCTCCTCCAGCTATGGATCCTATAGGCTTCAGCCCGATATGATTCTCCCAAGCTTGTTGAGATCGACCCCATTATCACTTGATATGATCAATCCTGCTGTTTATTTTACTGAATTTGATGGACGCTGCTGGACCTTGAGTTCTGTAGGGTATTCAATAACCGTTAGGAAAAAATTCACCCGCGTTCAGAAGAGACTAACAGGCTCCAACCGTATGCAGCTCAGAGGTTATCATCTTTGACCATGTCTACCGATGATGCACTCATTGCTATGTCCAGCAGTGCCCCTCATCACGTGGTGGACAGACCAGAGGACCACCTCGTCGACTCTCATCGAAGCAGCAATTCACAGTCTCTTATGAGTACCCAGATAGAGGGTTCCGCAGCCGCTGAGGGCAGCACTAAGGTAACTGGGGCGGCTGCCTCTTCGAGAGGAATGTTCTTCATCAGGTTCTTATTGTATATACTGGTGGAACGGTAGGAATGCAGCGTGGCCCGGATGGCTCATTAAGACCCGTTAAAGGCTTTCTAAACAAGCAAATCAGCGGTCTGGAGGAGCTCAAGAAACCTGGCATGCCTTCACTTACAGTATGCCCTCACTTTCGGAAGTTGCTTGAGCTCTTTTCTAGGTCATAGAGTTCGAGGAGTTGATTGACAGCTCGGACGTTACGCCTGGGTGTTGGAAAAAGATGTCCAAAGTATGCGATTAGTAGCAGTTCTTTGATACGGGGAGGGTGCTCTTTAGACCTCGGAATCTGATCTGCTCAATCTTCTTCTTGTTGTTGCTGTTGTTATTGGTGTTGTTGTTGTTGCTGTCGTTGTTGTTGTTGCGGTTGTTATTGTTGCTGTCGTTGTTGTTGTTATTGTTGTTGTTGTTGTTGTTGTTGTTGTTGTTGTTGTTGTTGTTGTTGTTGTTGTTGTTGCTGTCGTTGTTGTTGTTATTACTGTCGTTGTTGTTATCGTTGTTGAGAGACCCTTGCTAGTTTCTGGGTAAACAACAAGAAGAAACGTATATATACATACTCAATTGAAATTAAGAAACTAGTAATCCAGTCTTGTATTGATTCTCGCGATAACTATGCGCACCGTTCAGTTTCAGCCACAGTTTTCGATCACATTTCAGGCGATTGAAGACAACTACTACGACTATGATGGTTTTGTGGTCATTCACGGTACGGATACTATGGCCTACAGTGCGAGTGCACTATCCTTCATGTTGGCCAATCTTGGGAAGCCGGTTGTGTTCACGGGTTCCATCCTGCCCTTTGGGGAGCCTCACAGTGACGCTAGGAGGAACTTGATCATATCAATTCTGCTCGCGGGTGAGGGCCTAGACAGATCCTGGAGGACTGATTCTTCGCTGTGCGCGATTATGCGCAGGTCTTTGTAGCATTCCGGAGGTTTGTATCTTCTTCAACGAGCGACTGCTTCGAGGCTGCCGATCTGTCAAGGTAAGATGTGGGAATATTAACGGTGCCGTCGCCGGGGATCGAACCCGGGTGTGCTTGTTAGGTTGACAGTGGATCGATAGCAGCATTCGACTCGCCCAATTTTCCTCCTTTGGCTACCCTCGGTGTTGACATTCACTTTAATGAGCATCTATTACTGCCGCCACCTAAAGGGCGCTTCCATACACATACCGAAATGGAGAGCGCGATCCTTGTCGTTAGACTGGTGAGTTGATTCGTTACTGCTTTGGGATATCTCTGGGCTTGACGAGAGTCAGCAGTGGAGTATTTGGGGATGGTGTTAGTTGCTTGCGCGATCAGTTCAGTGGTGGTCCACTGCGATCTTCACGCGTTGTAGTCTGTAGGCAGTCGTGTGTTGTCTGCTCAGGTCCCTGGCTTTGCAGATTTGGAGACACTCGCCGACACCGCAGTCCGTGGTGTTGTACTGCTCCTCTACGGCACAGGGAACGCCCCTGCTCGTAAGAAGAACTTCGTCTCTTGGCTTAAGAGGTAGCAATCCACGTGCATGTTAACCACGGTGAACTCCCTGGGGTGATAGGGTGATTTAGAGCGATGACATCGGTAATTCTTTTTCACAGAGGCATCTACGTGAGCTTTTTCCACTGAGAAATCTCCTGCCCACGATGTTAGAAGTGACAGATTTTTTGCAAATTTTCGACTGTTTTTGACAAGTTTTTTTGGTATCAGATTGATTGACAACGGAGTGGCAGTGATCGCTTGCTCCCAGTGCGTGCGAGGAACGGTAGAGCTGAACGCGTATGCAGTTGGATCGCAGCTATCATCGATCGGAGTCATCTCTGGCGGTGACATGACTTGTGAGGCTGCTGTGACGAAGCTCAGCTACCTCCTGGGCCGAGGCCTGTCGCCGAGTCAAATCAGAAGCGCCTTCAACATGTCCATACGTGGAGAAGTCTCACTGGTGAAGTCATGTTGGTGATGTATTCAATGCATGTTATTGCATTTTATTCAGAATGGCCGCAACGATAATATCTTCAAAGGCTTTGGGGGAGTAGTGTCCAAGTTGTGAAGCGGTGAAGTTCAGAAATTCACATCAGCGATGAAAGTCCAGAAGAGACCCCTCAGCGTTTTGTCGCCGACAAATTGTCGGGAAACAATCACTACTATTGATGTTCCTCAGTCTTTCACTGCTCCATCCCTGAGCTGAGTTGCCGATCTGACGTCATCATTTCACAGTGTTACAGAATGATCCTTCGACGCTCCCGAGGCCTCCTCGCTGAACTCGTGGGTGACCATATCCACCCATTCCGCGTCAATGTCACTGGCCTGCACTACGGGACCAGCGTGGCTGATGTACGAGCCCTATTCAAAGGTAAATCGTGGATCTTTATAACTTTTGTGAACAGTGATATCAGACTACAAGTCTATTCCTCAAGTTGGTGGAGTTCAGCTGGCAGCGCCGACCTCCCGTGATAAGGGAACTCCCTTCTTCACCGGCCGAGCTTGGGTTACCTTCGAGAACCCTGAGGAGGTGCTGCTGAGGGCAACGTGTCACCACATCTAGTGCAGTCTTTGACTTCAGGCTGTACACGCTTCCGAGGCTATGAACGGACGCTTTGTACATAGTGTCGATGGTGGGTGGCGAAGAGTCGGGGTATTTTGTAATTTCTCAGGGCCGAAAATTGTCAGGTAGTCAAAAACAAAACGCTAGGGAATTCTCTGTGTCTGTGTGGGAAAATATGCACATGGTCTACTACATGTATCGCTGACAATATGAAAATTTTGGAGGATTTTTTTGGTTTCTGCACACTTCTACTACCCGAGTTCGCATGTAAACTTATTGTGGGAACTCCTGAGCTTAGCTGAGTATATATCCCATCGGCAGGGTGTTGATTTGGAAAATGATATGATCCGTTTCAGAGAGGAGAAGTGGCCGCCAGTGCCGGATGAATATCGCTTGCGTAAGGTGACAGCGTTGAAGGCTGTGGGAGGCCGGAAGTTCAATCACTTCCCGGTCATGACTCTGAACGAACAGAAGCATCGTCGTCGATGGAAGATAGGCAATTGGCCGAGGGCCCACAAGGCATGAGGAGGGGCTCCTTCGACTTGGAGAGTTTCAGAACTCTATAGCTCGTGTGGTGTTCTAAGTCACTTGCATAGAGTCTGGTAAGTCTAGTAGGTTCCCTCGGGGCACAGTTCTTCGTAGTGGTGATGGGCCTTGAGCTGATCGGGGTCCATAGATGCCCGTGAAGATTAGTCTGTCTACTCGAGTACGGGGGTAGTGCTTTCTTGTGATCCTATTGGCATTCCTCTCGAGCTCGGCCATTTCTTGTAATGTCGAATAGTTACCGGCGAAGAGGTTCGTGGAGAGTTGAAGATTATGAGAAGTGTAATGCTAAGAGACTCTGCTTTTGACGTCCTGCTGTCTGCATACGCCTTAAGGAAGCATTGGGGCTTTTTTAGACACCGCACGGTTGAGGAAGGATCATGAGGAGCTTGTGAAAGAATATGCTCGGCTGAAGTAACGGTCATCGCCTTTCTTGCGGGTTGTAGATTTTATGTAGTCTACCGCTCGCCTCTGAACCTGTTGCGAATCGTGGTAGGTCACTGTATATGGCCAGTCTCCGTACCACCTTGCCGCTCGAGCTGCCCTCGGTATGTCATCGAAGAGGTCCTCTGGTCGAACGCTCACGTACCTCCTTGGAAACTGTCTATGAAGAGGCTGAGACTATCACCACAACTCCTCCTCCGGCTGAGACTATCACCACAACTCCTCCTCCCGTGGCTGAGACTATCACCACAACTCCTCCTGTGGCTGAGACTATCACCACAACACCTCCTGTGGCTGAGACTATCATCACAACTCTTCCTGTGGCTGTCGTGTCACCACCAGGAACTGTCACCAATTATGCTTCCGTGGATGAGATTGAAGAGCACCGGTCGCCTTCTGAAGCGAGTGTCCCACCCAGTGCGGAACTCACTCCTTGTTGTTCAATGAGGAGCTCAGATAAGGACTCTTATTCGCACGGCAGCTGGAGAGTAGTGGAATGATGTGAGCACTACCCTCAAATGTGTTTTCCCATTGCAGAACGATGCCAGTCCGATCACTCCACGTGCCGCCGCAGAGGAAGAGCACAGTGAAGCGGAGAGTTCTCCAGCAAGGCACTCGGCCTTGACCTGTAGCGACCTGATATCATACCGGTCGGAAAGTGCTACTGGGAGCAGCCCCTCCAGTGTGGGACGGGTCTCTCTCCACTTCTCAGCGGACGTCCAAGAGGATGAAGGACATTGGCCTGAGCTACTATGGTGATTACCATTTCCTCATTGTGTGAAGCCTGTGCATGACAGGTGTCCTCATGAACCTACCGAAACGGTCGTGCTGGACCAGTATTATACTGAGCGAATCGATTGCAGAATTCTAGGCGTAATGAAGAAGACGTTTCCGTGTTCTCCAGGGGATGATTCCTCCGGGAACTCATCCTCTAGGAGAGAGTCAACCACAACATGCAGCAGTCTCGAGTCGTATGTCTCTTCTGAGGGCGAGTGAAAGATCGTCAATCACTGCTCTTTATAGGGCTCACATCGCCCTGCATGTCTCCGTAGTCGTCTTCACGTGTTGTGGGCTAGAGTGTTGCGTTGAGTTACAGCAGGGTGATATAGAGACTATCGATATACGTCCATCGTCGATCGCGGCCTGATGCTCCATCACTACGTAGTTCAAAGTGTTCGAGCGTCCACTGTTAATCTCGTCCCCAGGGGAAGGAATTGATGTTCAGTTGAACTACAGGACATGGCCGTCCGAGGATCTGGTGGTTTGGTTACAACGGCGGAGCCTGCTCGAGCGTTAACATATTATGAGAATCCACATAAGAGGGGAGCTTCGGTGACAGTACTCATACCAGGGTTCATGGCCAAAGTCGATAAAACAGTGCCACTGGTGAGTTGGGTACCTCTAGCTAGCTGCCACTCTTTGCCTCTCCATCTCTGACTTGCTCTTATTGTGTACAGGTTAACAAAGAAGATGTTCTCCAGGCTTATCGGAGGCTCCCTACGAATGCCAAACAAGAACTACTCACTATCATCGATGCACAACTCGTCTCTCGAGTGAATGAAATACATAAGGTAACTTCGTGACAAGATCAGGCAGAGTGTATTTCGGAGCCTTCAGGAAGCGAAGAGAGAGGACACACTTTGCACGCGTCAGCAGCCTAAGTCTAAACGCCTCGTTGGCCTGTCAGCGTTCTACCTCTTCAACAGTACCAAACTGATGCAAGGGATTCTCGATCCTTCGGGAGCTCAAGGTAAGGTTCAAGGCATGGTCACGTCTCCCCTCGGACTAGTGCCTTTGCTCACCAGCTCTTGCCCATGATCGCAGCATCAAACCAGACGTGCTTCAGCCTAAGTATCACACAGTACTCAATGAGACGCTGCTCCCGGTAGGTCTTTTCGAGTGGTCTCTCTATGACCAAACTCCGGTTTCAGTTCATTCAAGATCGATGTGAACATTTTCTTGCCAATGCTAAGAGGATGCGCTCAAGGATTGTACGGCGAACTGAGGTAGCGTTGCCTGGTCTACAGCAGACTTGGCTACTCAGCTTCGGTGGAATGTATAATTTGCCCTTTATAACTTTGCGCTCTTCGACTCAGTTATGGTATCGTCTCACAGACTTCGCCGCGGAGGACCCGAGGTATGTGTCTGTGGATGGCATTGTCGCTCAAGCTCTCGAGTTCGTAAGGCGGAGAGGCATTCGTCGCATTGGTATGCGTTCTTTGTTCACTTCTCAGCGTATATTGAGTGAGTACTATAGAGATAAGTTCGAGTCGATCCGGAGCAAATACTCGAAGGAGCCTTCCACACTCGGGGAAGGGTCACTGAGGAAATGGTTCGGTGTCCACCGCCTTCGAAGATCAGCGAAAACGAAAGCCACGACTGCGTCAGTCCGAGAGAGTACTCGAGCCTAAGGCAACGACTATCGCAGGACTTGAGCATAGACCTACCTCACCGCCGTTAGCTAGCACGAGATCTGAGTCGTTGGACGGAAACAGGCTTCGGGACAAATCTCCTCTATCATCACATCCGTCTTCGTCTAGAAGCAGCTCGCCGTTCTCATCCTCGAGCTCTTCTTCTGCTGCCTCATTTTTGTTCAGCGTGATGATGACCTCGGAAGGGTACACCTCAGACACATCCACGTCCTCACCATTTTCTGATTCCGAGTCGGATGTCGGAGTGAATTCAAACGAGGCTCCGAAAGTACCATTGGAGCCAGTAGAAGGGCCGCCTCTTATGATTACTTATGGACAAGAATCCTTCAGTAATGATGAATGGCATGCCGTTGGAGAAGCAAAGACGAGGAAAAATTCACCGTTCATCACCAAAGTATCGTCCTTGTTGTCACCAAGGCGTCTGGCTCGGCGACGTGCTGCAGCGAAAGAGGCAGCAGCATCTCTCCAGTCGACTAAGCCTGATGAGGAAACGGTTGCGGTAGCGAAGGCAAAAGAGCATTCTGACGAGCTTCAGTCGAGACCTGGGAACATTGAAGGGATATTATCAGTGAAACGCACCTTCATTTGCTTCGAGGAGGAGCCCACAGATGAGTGTCTTTGTTACCACCCTCCTATGCTTTCAAAAGAGGCTCCTTTCTGAGATCTGCTTGTCGGTCGTTGGTGACGATTTGTCATGCTGCTTGTATTCTATTGTTTTTCTCTCTGCTCCTACATACTGTCAGTCCTCTTGAATCCGCATGTCGATGCGTACGATGTAGTTGTCCCCTTCCCGCCTGAGTGCGTTATTTCTGTACCCTTTCGAGTATATCAGCGTAGCTCCGCTATATACTCGCAAATTCGAGAAGCTTTTCCTCAAGCGCTATGACGACCCTCTAGAATTTTCAACTCTGCTGCGATATACAAAATGGCTAACATTTACAGAAATGAATAATGATTACGGTATGGTTCAGTTGTTAATGAAAGTGGTTCCATAAAGTGTGGAAGTCGAAGTAGTCGAAGTAAAGTACTCTATAAAGTCGAAATATCAACGACTGGAGTTTGGCTTTTTCTGGTGTCACTAGATGCTAGGCCACGATTTGCTCTTAATGCATGCGTTTGCGCTTCCCTTGATATCTGCAACTCTGCGTACGATCTCTGAACCACACCTATTTAGTGGAGCGGCTAGTGCAACACTCGGGACAGGATGCATAACACGATCCACGCTAGGGTTGGCTGCAGCTAAGTTCGTCTATCTCTCGTTAGTTTATTAAGAATATTCCTTTCAGTTGAAATTTCTCAGTCCCTGACCGGTGAACATGATGCGCCTTCAATTTCTTCTTCATTATTGGTTCAGTCGTAGCCGACTGGAACTACTGCCAGGATCTGTGTGAAGCGAGTCCTGGTTGCAAGAACTATGGTTGGGGTTCTTACTGTAAGGGTAACGGTGTCTGTTTCGGTCTACTCGATATGGGAGATGGTGATTATTGCTTTGAGCCCACCGATGGATACAACGGTGGCTACTGCAGCGACAAAGTCTACAGTCCCGTGTCCTGCCCAGTGGTTGATAAGACTTGTGAGGATCTTTGCGCGGAGACCCCCAAGTGCAAGAATTCTAAGTGGGGATCGTACTGCAAGAAGTATGTCGATCAGCCTGGTCCTTATGTGTGCTTCGGATTGTACCACTCCGACAAGCCGCATCTCTGCTATGAACCTTCTGAGGGTGACAAGTGTGATGAAACCTCACCTGTCTATTGCCCCTCAGAAATGGATTAGATTCGTCGTGTTCCTTATTAGTCGATGATGATATCGAATGGAGTTATCAGATGTCAGATTATCTATTGATCTCAGTAGTCTTTCAAGTATGATATTGGGGTTGTGTGATTGAGAGATTAATGAAAGCTAGTTGGTGGTTGATAATTTGCTCGCCGCGTAATTTTGTCATCAACACGATTGAAGATGAGGCATATCATTTGAATATGTTCACCCGTAACGGGTACTTCCTCGTTGTTTTTGTGTGACACTGATTCTTGATGGTTGACTGCCAGTCGAATCAGGTGCGGGTTAAAGAGCGTAGTTTAACCGTCAAACTTTGACGGGAAGTTTGGAATTTAATATGTTGAGCTTGTCTGTGGATCCTAAAATGGATTGATGGATGAGAATACAGAATTTCGGTGTCGTGCCCCGTCTTAATTCATGCAGCAGCTGCCCGTCCTCAGACGCCCACACCTTTATAACCGTACCGCTCTCCCCAGCAGAGGCGACCTATCCAGAAGCATCTTCGATAGGATTGGCGAGTGGTTATGCCTCCCTCCATAGTGCCGCTGATGTTCAGTTGTAGGGCCGTGATCGCACTATTGTGAGCTCCTAGAATTGAGCGGGAAGAGAGATGACTGCTCACTCCAGTAGATGTCCTCGTCGATCTATTTGGACGACTCAGGAATTGAACCTGGGCCGCGGGGTTCAGAGGGGAATAGTCGCTGTCTGACTTCCCGTTACTCTAATTGCGATGCACTGTTCGTCAGGACAAGTACAGAGCCAGCACAGAGCCAAGTTAGTCTTGTTTCGTAGGTTGGGGTTAACCACCACCAGTAGGTAGCATGCCGATGACTGCTACTTCTCCCAAAATTGATGTAACAGAATCAGTTCCACGGATTGCGCCAATTCGTCCCGGTTAAATGTCCTTACGCTTCCACTACCCTTGTCTCGTCTTATTGTTTCAAGTATCCTTATCATTCATTTGTTTCCGAATCATTCGTTCTCATCAAGATTCGAGTTTTTTGACTGAGCTCGTTGAAGTGTGGAGTCGTTTTCATAGAAGAGTTAACCTCTACAGCAACACAAATGGAGTCCAGACCCGCTCGAAACTGATATCATAGTGATCAAAAACGACCAGAAAGGCCGAAAAATAAAACCCAGCATTGTGTACATAACAACTTGAGAATTCATGAACACAGAGCGATCGTTCAAAATCTCATTCACCGGCAACAGCTCATCTCGAGGAGAGTGAGTATGAAAGAGATATTCTGAAGAGACACCACCTGCGAATGAGCTATCCAAGACTTTAAAGTCAGGAACGGGTTCACCGTCAAGCTATCAATGATAAGAATAATGAGATGACTCGGCCACAAACATTCCGGATCGAACGACAAACACACACCAGAGGAGTTTGATGCCTCAGCCCAGCATGACGATGCGAGGGAGTCTTAATAGAAGATTCGCATGCCATGTACTTCGTCGTTTAATAGCACTTATCACCCTTCTTCGTCGGATTAGGTAAGGGATCGGTCAAGCCTGTGCAAGTCAGAAGTGCAACATCGCAGTGATCCTTCACACACTTGAAGCACTTTCCACTCAGTGGGCTGAAGATGCAGGATCCAAGGCATGATTTAATAGTACACTCTCCAGCAGTAACGAAGCAACCGGAGCATTCGTGAGACAGGCCACATCCTTGCTCAAGGCAGGGGGCGATTTTTGAGGGTGTAAGCCCGGCGTCGGAACCACAGTTGAATAGATAGTTGGGAAATAAGCTGTTCGCCATCTTCGCTTTGTCCTCGTCGTTACAGGCATTGCTAGCCACAACGACAGTGATAACCAGGATGTTGACGATGCTGCGCATTCCGACGTTGAAAGGTTGCATAGATCGGGCGGCAAGACAGAGCTCGTGAACGCATACGCATTGGATGTTGGGACGCACAGTGTGCGTCGCGCACAAAGAGCGCGTGAAACGAATTGTTCATTGGAGAGGGATAAACGTCACTGAACCCACCGGGTCGGGAGAAGAATTCTCTCTGATAAAAACCCTCTATCTTTTTGACCATCTTGTCATTCCCAGGGAATGTCAGAGCTTACGCCGGTATCCAGAGTAGTGAAACTACCCTTGGTTTCTGACTGTGGGTCCCTGCGTGGCGGGTGGGTGGCTCACGTGCAAATTCAATCGACACATCGCAACGATCGATCACATCTAGGAGAGTTGGTGGACTCCCTCGAGGATCATTGTTGGCACTCCCACCAACCCCGTCGGCCGCAGCTAAAGACTTGATAACTTTAGCACCAAGTATTATCTGATATCTGAATCTACCTTCGGGGATTCTGTTGCCAAAGTATCAATAGACGACCCGATCACGTCTTCGTGTACATCCGTGCGTGAGTCTGCGAGTGAATCTGTGCGTCATTTCCCCTTCAACTAGGGACTCCCTAGTAGGGAGGGTTTGTACTCGACAGGAGAGACAATCGAAAGACTAGTGGACGGCTATAGCGTCCATTAAGCTCAATTTGGTTGCCAGAAAGTGCCACGCCCCGCACGACATCCCGTCAACCTTCTGTTATTCTATCTGCGTTTAGCGCCAATACGCAGACACAACACTGCGGCATGAACCAGTATCATGGCTTCCTGCAGAACTGGCTTCGCCAATGCGTAATTTGCTGAACGCTTCAGGCTGTAGGCGACAGCCTATGAAAATCTGTCAACTGTCAAGCTTCGTGATAGGATTCAGAGTGACGGAGGGAGAACTCAAGTGTACTGCAGACAATATTACGAACAGGGGCCGTATGCGGATCCTGATTCATGAATCTGAGTCCATGATTCAACTCACGCTCTGATCCTGATTCATGATTCAAGTCACACCTTGATTCGAGAGAACTGATTCAGATCCCTTGCTCAGGAGAAAGAGTCGAGATTTCTGAGTATGAGTACTTGAGACAGAGTCAGATTACGAAATCATGAGCAAGATCCTTGATCCTTGATTTTAATCAGCCGCTGAATCCGATTCCTGATCCTTAATCACGATTCAAGATTCAAATCTATACTCAATGGCTGATTCAGAGTTCTTGGCACTGAGTCAGAGTATTTCATCAATTCGAGATTAAATGCTCAGAGTTGGGATTTTTACTCGTGATTCGAGATTACTTCTCAGGAGTCGAGATTCTTTTACTCAATCTCAAAGCTGCTCAGATTCAAGATCGCAATCTCACCTTGAGCATGATCCAGGATCATACTCATGATGCACAAGCTCACAGTTTAACACGGAGATTAATCTTGATTCTGTACCGGGGATCCGGACCCCCGGTACCAAAGCCTGATTCTGATTCTCGACCTTGATTCACGACTTCAGCGCGCACCACGGTAGACCTTCTCAGCTCCTCGCGAGTAGGTTCTTAGAATGACCGTACCGGGGGATAGAATCTCGGCTTCGTGCAAGTGAAAGCATATCCCTAACCAGTTGAGCTATGAAATTATACGATACAAGACGGTGCAAGGAGGTATAGCGCACGTAGTACATACAGGGTATCAGTGTGACCCTGCCCGAGAATAGAACCCCGTCTTCGGGCACAGGAAAGCATCACCTTAACCACTTCAGCTATGAGGTAATACAATGGAAGACGGTGTATGGAGGTATAGCGCATGTAGTACATGCAACCACACGGTGTGGACTACGCATTCCTTAATTCAATTAATTGTTCATAAAAACAATAAATGACCTTCGTCGATCCTCTTGAGGTCTTATCCGATAACGACATCCGATCACGCTACCGGTTCTCAAAGGAAGCTCCAGAAGGAAGCTCTAGCGCTGAGCTTCCTCTTAGAACTCGAGTTAGAAACCCAGAGTTAGTTGGTTCCGAGTGAACATATTGAAAAGTTTGAAGTACGGATGTGTACAAGTGCGACAAAGGATCTTCTTCCGAAATTTTATCGTTGCTGTAGCGTAACGGGAAATGTGCATGCATTCGGGGCGAATCTACCTGGTTCTACCCTTGTAGAGTGACGTTTTCTTCCTTTCTTGAAATTGTCACTTTCGGTTGTGGGACGTAGCGACTATAATCTTCGTCTCGTCAAAAATGTCTGATTCAAACTCTGATTCCCTGATTCTCGAAAATACTCAGATTCAATGGAATCACCCGAAAAATCAGCCTCATGAGCAAGGCATATTGAGTAAGAGGATTAATCAGCCAAAAAATCAACTTTAGATTCTCGAATCAGCTCAGAGATCCACATATCCTCGCGATGATCCTGATTTCTCGCTCCAGAGTAAAAAATCAGTGAATCAGGGGTTATCACTCACCATCTGATTTTTTCATCTAAGTAAATACTCTGACTCACCTGTTTCATCAGGATCCGCATACGGCCCCAGAGGACTCCACTGAGAGGATATACTTCAATTTAACCCCGAGTTTTCCTTCATGACAAAGTTAAGCAAGCTATCTCTCCAATTGCGACCAACAGAATATTTCCTGGTATCGATTTCCTTCATTCACTCGGCAGGTATTCTATACGAACTGCCAAAATCCTTCACCAACATCTACTGGAGGATCGGTCTTTGATGCCGTATTATCCACGTGGAAATCAAGCCTCGAAGCGATGAATTTCATAGCTTGTATCAAATGCATTGCTGTTGAGGTGGGCACTGAGAAGGAAGAAGACCGGAGTGATTGACTAGACGACATCTAAATCTATCACCGCAGTACCAACAATGCTTCACATGGTAAAGTTGCATCCGCGATAGGCAGAATGCGGTGCTCCAACCATTATGAGCTCGAATGCAACGTGATATAGAGCCATAGATCACCTTCTCCAGAACCTCCTGTCAATACTTCGACATCATCGTCGTCAAACTCACACTCACACCGCAAGCCGTTGTAGTGGAATACATATGTCCTGTTGAGGTGCGTCTTAGAAAAGCACACCAACGGGTTTGGAGAGGGAAAAGTCAGAGCCCTATTTTTCCTAGGAAAAATATGGAAAAAAAAAGAAATTTTGGAGGAAATTGGGAGAAAAGAGAGAA